CCCAGTGAAGCCAACAGCTCTGAGGGTGCCACCCTCCTCTCAAGCGGAAGGGCAAAGACAGAGAAGCCCAGTTGGGATTGGTCGGAGCCTTCGGATCTGGCAGCAGAAGAGATTGACCTGACTGGGCCTCTGCCTGCCCCATAGAAAGTCACCCCGGTGCCGGGGGAGTTCAGCTGTCCCAGAGGCCAGAAGTCACAGATGATGGGGGCAGCTGAGACAGAGGACCTGCAAAGCACTCGAAACCCCCAGGACGTGGGGCCTGCTGCTTTGAGGGAGTCTCCTAGCAGACAGAGCTGAGCTCTGGGGCAGCAAGTGGCTTGAATAAATAGGCCTCCCAGCAAAAGAGCAGCCAGCAGCTGAGGGTGGGTGAGAGGCAGGCAGCGGCAGTGCCCGACCCCCTCCCCCCCCGCTGCACCTTCAGGAAAGCAAGAGGGGATGCTGGGCTGGAGGGGAAGGAGGACAAGAAGCCCTCAGCCCCACAATCTACCGGGTGGGGTGGGGGGCTGCGGGCTGCGCTTGCATGGAGAGACTCTCTGCCATTCTCTCTGCAAGGCGGCACAGGCTTCAGAGAAGAGGCTGCTGCGCTTGCCGGGGTCAGAGATGAGGCCCTGGCGACCCCTGGCAGAGGAGCACCCAAAGCGGCCATCACAAGCCCTCCCCGTGTGATCCTGCTGGGCCAAGAGGTCGCAAAAAGCTAGAAATACAGAAATGACCCAACACAATTGGGAGGAGCACCAGAGCAACTCTTGGGAGGGCGGAAACAACCCTGCCCACAACCGCCGAGAGCTGCTTGCATGCCCTCCGGGACCCTGTTTAATGGCGCCCCTCTCCAATCAGAGGGTCTGCCCGAGATGCAGAAGCCCACAGCAATCTTTTAACACACGAGGAGGAGATGGCTGGAGAGACAGCTGTGGGCAGAGGCTGAGAAAGGAGGACGTTTGCCATTCCCCCCAAACAGTCTCTGATTAAAATTTATATATTCCAGAAATTTGAAGGAGAGAGCACATAAACCAACGTTTGCTTCAGAAAATTGTGCAGGTACAAATTTGGTCAGCAACTTCGGAAGATGCTTGATTTATTTTTCTGTGTTCTGTAAATCTAATGTTTTTACTGCTCTGTACAAATGTGAATCCTCAGTCTCTTTCATTCCTTCCTTCAAGCTGTGCAGGAAGAAATTAATTTTATTTAGAATTTTCTGATAGTCTGCAGTAAAAGGAAGTGGTGGGGGTGGGGGTTTGGGAACATCTCAAAAATAAAACCCTAGTAGAGCAGTCGCACTCTTCCGATGCTGCAGTTTAAAAGTTGGCAGACAGGACGGGTAGTGGCTGCCCAGGTGGCTCTGGGCTGAGCCAGACTGGCAGAGTCCCTCGTTGCAGAGGAAGACCCGGGACCTGGGCAGGAGTGGGCATTCTCTAGGGCAGGGCAGCCATACTGGGACTTTGGCTGCTACTTTATGCCGATCTTTGATTTGCTAATGATATCGGAAAGGTTACAGCGTGTACCATCTTGAGCACATTTATATTATTCTTCCTATCCTTGTATGAGGGGTAGATTTTATGCTTGACCAGATTCAAGTCTGCATTTTTATTAAATGTTAAAATTGCAGCTCAATCAAATGAAAGGCAGAAATACTTATCTGAACGAGTTATGGAGACCTCTTTACGATGCCTGGGGCCCTTCTTGTCCACCCTGTTATCTTCTCCAAGCCACAGACTTTGGAGACACAAAACTCCAGGAGAGCCATACTGCAGCCCCCTACCTCAATCCGGCCTGTGTCGGGCTGGAACCCACGGGCGGGATCCTCGGTCGTCACGCGGCACTGGATGGCGCAGCCGTTGAGGCTCACATTCTCCTGCTTCAGGCCCAGCTCTGGCAGACTCTTCCCCTCGGCGATGTGGATTTGGGCATGGACAAGATCCACACTGCAAAGCATAGGAGAGAGCAGCTGAGACCAAGCTATGGCTGCAGAGAGAGCCACAGTGGTGCCAGACCCAGATGGCTGGCTGGAGAACACAGGACACCATCTCAGAAGCAAAGAGGTATGGGCATAGCACAGGGAGCTCAACAAGCTTGGCTTTAGGAGAACTTTAGCCTTCCCCAGTGAGGCAAAACTATGCATCTGAAGATGACCATCGAACACAGATAATAGGGTTGGGAGGGACCCTAGAGGTCTTCTAGTCCAACCCACTACTCAAGCAGGAGATCCTATACCATTGCAGACAAATGGCTGTCCAGTCTCTTCTTGAAAACCTCCAGTGATGGAGCACCCACAGTGATGGAGGAAAGTCCAACAACAAGAAATTGTTCTCACTGTCAGGAAATTTCTCCTTAGTTCTAGGTTGGATCTCTCTTTACTGATCTTCCACCCGTTACTTCCTGCCCTGCCCTCGGGGGCTTTGGAGCAAGGCTTTTCAATCGGTGGTACGTGTACCACTGGTGGTACATTTGCACCTGGCAGGTGGCACGCGACCCTGCCCAGCCTAGCCAAGTGTAGCGGTGGAGGGAATGAGCCAAAATGGCGCAGCACAGCACTTACCATTTCCCTTATCCACTAATTTAGCCACTTTGTCAAAGAAAGCAATAAGGTTTGTCTGATGTGTGCTGGTTTCTAATCATTGTCTTGTTCGTTTCACAAGTGCGCTGCTTGATTATCTTTTCCAGGATCTTCCCAGGTATTGATGTCAGGCTGACTGATCTGTAAATTTCCTGGATCCAATAGTTTTCCTTTTTGTAGATTGGAACCACATCAACTCTTTTCCAGTCTCTGGTATGTTCCAGGAGTTTTGAAAGATTTTGTTCAGTGGTTTCAACTTCACGTCTGCCAACTCCTTCAGAATCCTGGGATGTAATCCTTCTGGTCCCGGTGATCTGAACTCATCTCTTGCCTATTTTGACTTGTATTCCTATTCTGTCTCCCACGGTGCTGCTTTTGATAGGTTGGGCTGCCTTTTCCTTTTGTGTGAAGACAGATACAAAGAATGAATTAAGCCATTCCACTTTCTACTGCTACCCATCACCCCCTTGCCATCTTCCCCACATGGGGACCAATTGTTTCCTTGATTTTTTTCTTGTTTCTGAAAGAAACTATTTAAAATTATTTTTGGCATTTGTTTCAAGTCTTAGTTCATTCTGAGGCTTAGCTTTCCTAACTTCATCCTTGCAGATTCGGGCTATTTGCTGGTAATCTATTTTAGCTATATGTCCCTCTTTCAATTTATATAAAGAGGGAGATGTCTTGTGACTGGTGGGTGGATGGATGGATCAACATGAGGAACCTTTTTCTAGAAGAAAATAAATAAATAAACAGGCACACACAAATGAGCTGGGAGAATTCTGGTACAAGGCTGGGGACCGAGGCTGCTTGAGCCTTTAAAACAAGCAGTCTCCTGGCTGGCACCATTCAGATTCTGATCTTTGTGCAGATGGATCCTAGCTTCTGGTTTTGGACAGGGAAGAGATCATTTCTGCAGAGCACAGACTCCCTTTTTCTTCCTGGAAGGTGAAGCAGAAGGATTCAATGGCCTATCAAACCCATTCATTCCTGAGAGATCCACTACTTCTAGCAGGAGATGACCACCAGAACATTCTTCACCCAAGACCTCCACTGTCCACCCAGGGGTTCTTGCTCCATCATCTGCCTGACTCTTTGATGCACAGGACAATCCTTTGACCTCCCTTCTCTTCTGCAAATTAGGAGATCTGGCTCTGGAAGGGCTGATCCCAGAGGGGCAGAGTTAGCATCTTGCAAATCACCCCCAGGCTGGGTCAGCGGGAAGCTGGGCACAGAGGTCCTGGCTCCTGGGCACCCTTCTCTGCTCAGTCCCCCAATGCACCTTCTCCAAGTGGCCTCAGCCTGGAAACAACCATGCTCCCCCCCCCACCTGCCCTACAGGCAAAGGGGGCCTTGCCTTCACAGAGAGGCACTGTGCACAGCTATTTCTAACTAAAGGTTGATGTAACAGATCTTCCTCCTGGTTTCACATATAAAAGCATCTATCTGCAGATTGATTTTTAAAAAATGGCTTCATATTTTTGTGGGGCTGTAAAAGCCTTGGCTGCTTCTTGGGCTTTGGGTCCCTCTAAGGCAGACATATCAAACTCGTGATGTCACATGACGTCGCGTGACATATCCGAATTTTTTCCCCATTGCCGGCAATGGGTTGGGCGTGGTTTCCTTGTGATGTGTCCGGCCTGCGGGCTGGCAGTTTGACACCCCTGCTCTAAGGGGAAGGGATCCCTCATCACAAGAGAAGCCCCTTTCTCAAATGGCCACTTCCCAGAAACTGGGGCTGGCACTGCCCTCCTTTGCCAGACAGCCCTGGCCAGAATCCACTCAAAGAAACCCAGTTAAGCACAACACAGAGCTGCTAGGAAGAAAAGCTAAGGGAAAAGAACCCCAATTTAACCATTTGGCAGGATGACATTAATGAATCAAGACGGATATTTGGCCCATTTCCTTTCAAAAACGAGATAATCCTGGACCGTCCCTGTTTCTAAATTTGGATTTTACAGTCTGAATTTTCAGAACAATTTTTGAGTTCACTTATTAGCACTTTTGTGATTCCTGAATACTGGTACAAAATCTCAATTCCAGTTTGAAAAAAAAAACCCAATCACCTATCAATTAATGCCTGCAATATCCAAAGATCTCACATAATCTTTGTTCTGAAGTCAATGGGGATCTTCAGTGAACTAGATGAGGGGGGCAGAAAGGGAACGCAGCAAAATTGCAGACTAACACCAAGCTGGGAAGAACTTTGGAAGAAAGACTCAAGATTTAGAAGGGTCTTGTCAGATTTGATCATCGGACCCTAGCCAACTATATGCAGCTCAGTGGTGAGAAAAGGCAGGTCCTGCACTCAGGCAGGAAAAACCAAAAGCACAGGTACAGAGTAGGCAGTACCTGGCTCAACAGGAGTAACTAGGAGCCCTGGTAGATCACCACTTAAGTAGGAGCCAGCAGGGTGCTGCAGCTGCCAAAAGAGTTAATGCAGTCCTAGGCTGCATCAACAGAGAAATTGTCTAGAATAGTGTAAGGTCTCTTGCCTTGGACTAGAAGACCTCCACAGTCCCTTCCAACTCTATGGTTTTATGTTCTAATTTTGTGAATTAGACCTCTTTGTATCGGACTGTGATTACTTGTGTAAATTCCAAATGTTATGGGGCTTTTCTTCAAAAGCATGCACATTTTTTATACATTAGGAGCCGTGGTGGTGCAATGGTTAGAATGCAGTAGTGCAGGCTACTTCTGCTGACTGCCGGCTGCCAGCAGTTCGGCAGATCAAGTCTCACCGGCCTCAAGCCTTCCATCCTTCCGAGGTCGGTAAAATGAGGGCCCAGATTGTTGGGGGCAATAGGCTGACTCTGTAAACTGCTTAGAGAGGCTGTAAAAGCACTGTGAAGCGGTATATAAGTTCAAGTGCTATTGCTATTGCTATTAGTTTTGGTTAAATTTTGATTTGAGAGCTAAATTTTCAACATGGGACTTAGTGAATCGTGTTTTGTATTTTAGTCCAAATCTTGCTCCACTCAGAACTCCTACTCAATGCAGGAACACAAACCCCAGCTTCTGCAGAAATGTCTGTCTGCTTGTTTCTTTCTTGGCAAGGAGGTTTCCTAAAACAAATCTTATTTTCCACAAACAGAAATCCTGCATAAGATGTCTCCCCAACACGTTAACTTCTTTGTTGCCTATTAATTCCAGTGCAAGCACAGCAAAATTCACCTGATCTCTGTGGAAAACCTGGGCCTATCCAAAAACAGTGGCTCATGCATTAAAGGGAGGATGTACATTTCTACTTTAATACAAGGGCATTAATGGAAAGTAGCCTTTCAATAATTAATTTGTTAAATTTGTGCTCACGTTCCCACCTGAAGGAACAACATTATGCTTTTCTACTTTTTAAAGTACCATCTTGGGGTTCTTTTGTACTAACTGTTTGATGATGATGATGATGATGATGATNAATTGTTCTAACTGTCAGGAAGTTTCTCCTTAGTTCTAGGTTGCTTCTCTCCTTGATTAGTTTCCATCCGTTGCTTCTTGTCCTGCCTTCAGGTGCTTTGGAAAATAGCTTGACTCCCTCTTCTTTGTGGCAGCCCCTGAGATATTGGAACACTGCTATCATGTCCCCCCTCGTCCTTCTCTTCGTTAAACTAGACATACCCAATTCCAGCAACCGTTCCTTATATGCTTTAGCCTCCAGTCCCCTGATCATCTTTCTCAGGTGAGAAGATGCCGTAAACACTGTAGGGCATGTCTGCAAATGCTTCTCCGTTGTCATCTTCACTTTTCCTTCTTAAAGTACCAGCAGGAGAAAAATGTTTTCTTCTTGTTCCTTTCTCAGGCGCTCCTGATAGCCAAGCATTTCCTCTTGACTTAGGGGGAAAACTTTGTTGGGGTCAATTAAGAGTGCTGGCCACATGACCGCAGAAGCGTCTTCAGGCAATGTTGGCTCTCTCAGCTAAGCCACGGAGATAAGCCCTGGCCCCGAGAGCCAGACACGACCGGACAGGGGAAGCCTTTGCCTTTAGACACATCTGAAGTCATTTAGGACAGGGGTCTCCAAACCTGGCAACTCTATGAATCCCATGCTGGCTGAGGAATTCTGGGAGTTGAAGTTCACCTTAAAGTTGCCAAGTTTGGAGAACCCTGATTTAGGAGACCATCTCGGTTCCCTGCAGAGTCCAGCTGACCATCCTTCAGAACCATCATTTTTCTGGTCTCTCCTCTCCTCTTCCCGTTCAGTTCCCTGGCAACTCTTCTTGACACACCCCCCCCCAATTTGCTTTCTTAATGAGCTCACTCCCCGGAGTGAGGGAGGTTGCCCCGCACTCCTCTTGCTGCCCACAATCTGCAATTATTGTATTCACCTCCTACGGCTGGGCCTGACTCCTTTGAGTCCTCTGGAGGAGCAGCCAGGCCGCTCCAGATCACCAGGAAGCACCTCAGAATCTTAAACACCAGGGAGGGAGAGCCACTTACTCTGTGATCTCTTCTGTCACCGTGTGCTCAACTTGAAGCCGGGAATTGACCTCAATGAAGTAATGTTTGCCATGTCTGTCCAACAAGAACTCCACTGTGCCAGCATTTTCATATCCAACCTACAAAAAGAACGCAGTGGGTGGAATTCAGTAGCACGTACAGAAACGTCATATATGAATACGGCCACACTCCACGTTCAAAGCAAGAGAATTTTTATACTAAGAGGAAAAAATTCTGACAGAAATCTGTGATCCAGTATGAGATGAGTTCCACACAATGGAATTTTCCTCTTTTTCTAGCAGATAGGGAGGAAAGGAGGAGAAAAGCAGATAGGGA